GAAATTTGACTTTGAGCCAGCCTTTGAGCTACTCCCCAGATGGACAGCTCCTCTTTATCTCAGGGCCTGAAAATAACGTTAAATCTACAATAATGATAATCAAAATGTCAAATGAAGAAACCCACAAACAAAATCCCTAGTTAAACTAAGTTTATTATAGGTAATTTTCAATGTAATATCAGGAGGAAGTGACTGTAATGCAGGGTGAGACGGAAGTTCCTTGTCCTGCGTGGTGGTGGCGGCAGCGACTGCTGCTGCTGCTGCAGGTATTTCTAAAGAAGTAAACGCTTTCCCTAGCCGTGGCAAGAAAGCATGCTGCATTTGTCCCCAGGGGCATCACCCTTTACCCTCACGTAGTCTCTCCTCATTGAGTGTCACCAACTGCATACTTGGTCACAGAGTCCCAGGAAATTGGTAAAAGTAAATGATCTTAAGCAGACTTCTGCACAAGGCGTAGCCCAACCTGGGTTTCCGAGGGACAGGATATCTGGAAATGAAGAAGAAAAAAATCTATTCTAGGGCAACAGAGAAATATGCTTCCTTCCTGGCATTTGGTGAACATGGATAGATGAGAACTGTGGAAGGAAGAAGCCGTGGAGCTTTGCAGCAAGCATGGGGTGATCGGCAAGCTGTAGAGAAAAAAGAGCCAGCAAGGGAATGGCTAGGAAGGAACATCACTGCCAGAGTGGTGTCTGAGGACAGCAGTCCCGTGCTGAGGCCACACCAGCCAACGCGGTATGGGAGCCTGTGGGCTGTTCACGCCCTCCGTCCCATTTCCAGACCCCACCCTGTCTGCATCTGTGACTCTGACACACATTAATAGATGTTCATAATAACAAGCCTAGAAAAAGTAAGGAAAGGTCAGCAAGCAAATGTTTTTGAAAAAACATTGTGCATAAAACGGTTCTGTTAAAACTGGATTGTGACTGATGAAACACTGTGTCTTGGAAATTCCCACAGTTCTTCATTTTGCAGTGAGTCCCGTGAAATTTTACCTGCACTTTTATGTGATAAGAAGACGTAAGGAGAGGATTCCCATTGTGAATTTCTGAATAGAAATTGTAGAGGTATTGGCAGAGATATGTTGAGCTGTAGGAATTTCATGATACCCTTTAAAAACCTACCTGGGCCGGGCACGGTGGTTCACAACTGTAATCCCAGCACTTCGGGAGGCCGAGGTGGGCAGATAATGAGGTCAAGAGATCGAGACCAGCCTGGCCAACATGGTAAAACCCTGTCTCTACTAAAAATACAAAAATTAGCTGGGTGTGGTGGCATGCACCTGTAGTCCCAGCTACTCAGGAGGCTGAGGCAGGAGAATTGCTTGAACCTGGGAGGCGGATGTTGCAGTGAGCTGAGATCGCGCCACTGCACTCCGGCCTGGTGTACAGAGTGAGATTCTGTCCCCAAAACAAACAAAAAACCTTACTTGTAGAGATGCGCTTATTTGCTCATTGGTACAGTCTTGATACATCTTTGGATTGTGGACGAAGCAGGAGAACATTTCTAGGTCTAGAAATAAATTGCATTCTGCAGCTAAATGATTTTTTAATTTTTGGCGGCACATACTGTACAGAAGTTTTCTTGTCACTCCCACTGAACACTGGTCTGCACTGGAGTAAGCATCAGAACAGAAACTTTGTTCCATTCATGTGAAGGGCAGAATATTTTCCGTCTGTCCTTGTCAAAAAATTACTTGTTCAAAACAAATCATTACAGGAAGGAAAATGAAACTGGTATAATGCCATTCAGTCGACACAGCAACACGTAGGCATTTCTGCTTGAACATGTTAAGTGTCTTGGAAAAACTTCACATTCAGCAAAACGTGAGCTGAGTGCAGAATGTGCACTAAGAGACCGGACTTGCAGGACAAAGAGGACGGGCCATTCAAAAGCCTCTACGGCTGCAGCCACAGCCTGAACAAAAATGGTCATTGGTACCTAGAAAAATAATGGGGCTCTCTTGCCAGGCAGCTCCCATGCAGCTGACGGTTGCCACGCCAATCATTTAGAAGTCTCAGAAGTGTCAATCCCATAGAAGCAGAGATGAGAATGGTGGTTTCCGGGGGTGCGGGGCAAGCGGGGAGTGAGGAGATACTGGCCAAGGGTAGGAAGTTTCCGTGAGGCAGGAGAAGGAAGCTTTCGAGCGCTATTGCACAGCAGCGTTGCCATAGTTACTATTGATGGATCGTTCAAAATTGCTGAAGATCAATTTCAAATGATAGGTCAGTGAGGAGGTGGATGTGGTAATTAGCCTGGTTTAATCATCCCGCATTGTGCACTTAGATGAAAACATTACATGGTACCCCAGAAATACACACAATTATGGAGAAAGAAATTAGTTTTAAAATAGCAAAAAATAAAAGTTTCAACATGAGCTAATAAAGATTCTCAGAAGAGTTAGAGGCTATATGTTGGCAACCCTTTTGCTGGAGCAGGACAGGTGAGAGCTTATTAGACAGGGCAGGTGTGGGGTGCTGGGGGGCTTCTCTTACAGTGGGCTCGGGAGTGAGTGCAGCGCGCTAAGGATGGGCCTCACTTTCTCCCCTAGGGAAGGATCTCTGTCCAAGTGCTCACATTTAACTTTTTATAATAAAGCCAAAAGGGATCCTTCTGCCTGTATAACCTCAAAGCTGAGAGTTTGGTATTTTTAATCCCCCACTGAAATGTATACGCATCTTCCTACAATTTCCCTCCTGTTGCCAGGAAAGAGCATGTCTAAATTATATTTACATGATTTCCCTAGTTATCAATAGTGGACGAGCTAAGATGCAATACAGAGACATATGTGGTAGCTAAACAGATTGTTGATTAAAATAACTTTTTCTGATTATAAATGTAATTTGCCCTTATAAGAAATTTGGCAAATATAGAAAGGTACACAAAATTCTTGTTGGTTTATAAGAAATAAACTACTGTTTTGAGAAAATGATGATTTATTTCCCTCTGGTCTTTTTTCTATACATTTTTTTAAATAAAATTGGGCTATACTGTGGATATAAATTTATATCCTTTGTACTTATATTCTGCATTTTTCCATTTTATTAAATGCAAGTCAAAATTCTGAACTATCATTTAATAAAAACTACTTTTGGATAATAAAATTATTTTAAATTATGCTAATAAACACTGTCTTTGATTAATTCCTTAGTCTGGGCTGCTAAGGAGGAAATCATTGAGTCAACAGGTGCAGACACCCTTTTAAAAAATAATCTGGCCGGGCATGGTGGCTCAAGCCCGTAATCCCAGCACTTTGGGAGGCTGAGGTGGGTGGATCACGAGGTCAAGAGATCGAGACCATCCTGGTCAACATGGTGAAACCCCGTCTCTACTAAAAATACAAAAAAGTAGCTGGGCATGGTGGCGCGTGCCTGTAATCCCAGCTACTCAGGAGGCTGAGGCAGGAGAATTGCCTGAACCCAGGAGGCGGAGGTTGCGGTGAGCCGAGATCGCGCCATTACACTCCAGCCTGGGTAACAAGAGTGAAACTCCGTCTCAATAATAATAATAATAATAATAATAATAATAATAATAATCTGAGGATAGTAAACTTTTACTTTTTGTGATTTTTGTTTTAAACATAAGAACCTTAATATGATAAGAAAAATAGCCAACAGTAAGCTTGGTGTATTGGCCCTTCTTTACCATGGAGATATCGCTTATTCAAATGGTGGCATATCAAAAAGTGTATTTTCCTCACAACTAGGTGTTTGCCCCTGTAAGGGATTTGGTAATCAGGGAAGTACCTACCTGGTAAGAGCTCATATTCAGCACATCCTTGATGATCAGCAGGTCTGGTATATGCCATGACTGTGTCATCTATGCAAGCTAAACCAAGTGCCTAAAAGCGGACATCAATCTTGCCCTTTCAACTCAACTCCAATTGTCCCGTATATAATTTTCCACCCTTCTCCTCACCTGCTCTGGGTCCCTGTCATCTGTCTTATCCTTGGCCTCATGATTACGCCTGGCAGTAACTCTGCTTTAAAGTCTACACCCGTCGCTAGTTCAAGCTACTTGTTGACATCACAACCTCCTGTGGGACTTCTGAGGTAATTTGGCTGAAGAGAGGAAGCAGAGTTCCCTGGGATCCTCCCGATTCTGAGGTCCCTTGGGTATACACATGTGCAGAATGGTTGAAATTACAGGCTGTGGAATAATAATAAATGTCTGGATCTGAGTCCTTGATCTTTTTTCTTGAGCAATAAATGCTTGGTGTTGGGAGCGTGTGGTGGTTGCGGTATCATCTGCAGTAACAGCAGCAGCAACTGGGCACGCTCCAGCAATCGATGTTGATTGCTTTACAAATCCAGGTAGCTTATTATCTTTTCCAGGGGGACTGTAAAGACCATTTGGCTGTGTCAAATCAAATGGAATGAAAATAAACTGATATTCAATACAGAAGATTTTGTTTCTTTCCATGGCAGTTTCTAAATAAAGTGAACTGATGAGAGTTCTGAAGAAATTGCTTCTGTCAAACCTTGGGATATTGATGAGGGAAACCAAGTGACTCCAATAAAATAGAGGCAGATGGGTGTACTAACAATCCAACCAGCAAGTGTTTTGGTTTGGTTTGGTTTGGTTTGAGACGAAGTATCACTGCTGTCACCCAGGCTGGAGTGCAATGGCATGATCTCAGCTCACTGCAATCTCTGCCTCCCGGGTTCAAGCAATTCTCTTGCCTCAGCCTCCCGAGTAGCTGGGATTACAGGTGCCCACCCCCACACCCGGCTACTTTTTTTGTGTGTTTTTAGTAGAGACAAGGTTTCACCATGTTGGCCAGAGGCTGGTCTCAAACTCAGGTGATCCGGCCGACTCGGCTTCCCAAAGTGCTGGATTACAGGTGTGAGCCCCCGCACCCGGCCGCCAGCAACAGGTAAACCGGCGTCACAGGAGACTTCACTAAAGACAAGAAAGAGCTACTCCCAGTTCTCTGATATGTTTTAAAGAATGAAAAGTTATTCACACTGACTCAAAAGCTGATTTTCTTCTCTTTTCAGCCAGCCTATGTCCCAAGGAAGCTAATCCCAATAACAATCATCAAGCAAGGTAATTTGTCTGCTCTGGAAATGTGTTTAAAGCGATCTTTAACGTATGTTTAGCTAAGGTCATCAAACATGGCACATATTTTCTCAATTTTTTGACTGATTTGTTTGAGAAAAAGTTTGAAGAAAATATTATAGTCTAGTAAATTGGAAGTTAATGGATAGTTTTGGCTATTTTACCAATACGCCAAGCCTTGGGCTGGTCACCCTGGTCAGACAACTAGGGGCAAAAGCCATCACAAGTATTAAATTTTTAAAAGCAAGTTAAGTATGTGGAGCATGGCCTAGGATTAAGTTGTCATACACGAAGAAACCCGTTGATAGGATATTTTCTTAATGGAAATGGTTTAGTGGTCACTTTAGGGACAGCCAAGAAGTCCAGATTTCCAGAATTATAGTGTCATTTCACTTCAGTATCTGATTGTTTCTGTTTTGGCATTTGCTTTTCCAAATTATTAAACTCTATTTAATTTCCAGAAAGGTTCTTGGTAGAAGAGACAGGGCCCTTAAAAAATATTCTTCATTTTTAGAAAACACAGCATCCCCAGTGTATTCTCAAAACAGTCAGTCAGTGTTGATATTACTCAAAGATTCTTTGCTGTAAGAAAGTATTCTGAATTTTTATTAGTCACCACCTCTTTTTTGTGCTAGTACTGACTGATTTGGAGAAAAGAAAGACTTCAGGGAATAGAGTTAGGATGAAAATTTTTTAGTAATTAGAACGGAACACCTTATGAGAGAATAATACCTTTCTTGACTTAACGGCACAGGTGTTAAGGTAAGGTATGCCTTCCAGTACTTCCGTTGGCTACATAGCCGGCCCACTGAGTTGCTTTGTATTAATCAATAAAGTTAGATCGAGACTTGCCCAGTGCAGATGGCCTCACCTTATTAGCTTCTTACTGCCTACTTCCCCCGCTCACTGTCTTTTTGTATTTCAACAGTGATCCAGAATGTTACTCAGAAGGCTTCAGCTAAGTCCCCAGAAAAGCTCCCATGGGAGGAGTGATACTAGGTGAGTGTATTTGATATCTTTGCCTAGATTAAGCAAATCGGGCTGTCTTTTGAGGATAGCACTTTCACGGAGTTTTAAATTGATGCCGGTTCACTTCCTTCCATTGTTTAGCACGCTGGCTCAGGTCCCTTCCAAGCTAGGAACCAAGCTGTGCTATCTTTACCGTGGTGTGTTAAAGAAATAGCTCTAGGGCATGTGCAGTCGGAATGATGGCGCCTGCCCCACCTGCCCCACACAGTTGATTGCAATTAGGATGGAGCCTTTATCATACCGAACTGCTCTTTTATAAATCATCATTATAGGAAAATGAACTTCGTCCACCACACATCTTAAGCAGCCAGTTTACAATTTTTGAGTCTGTGGATTAAAAGAGGATTTTAGTAGTTTGGTTCTAAATACAAAACATATTCCATTTAGGATGTACGGTTCTATCTTTCCCAACATTTTAAAGTGTGGGTTAAAATGGAAGCAAAAGAACTACTACGCTTCATAGGTTGTATCTGATGTGCTGAGCTTTATTTTATGTCATGATGCACTTTTTTCTTCTTATTTGCGTCTATTTCCTTGCAGTCCACCTAATTATTCCAGGTCTTAATGAAACTACTGTAAAACTTCCTGCATCCCTAATGTTTGAGATTTCAGATGCACTCAAGACACAAGTAGGTAAGCAGAAAAGTTTTTTTTTTTATTGCATTTTAGGTTTGGGGTACATGTGAAGAATATGCAGGATTGTTGCATAGATACACACGTGGCAGTGTGATTTGCTGCCTTCCTCCCCCATTCACCTAGTATCTGGCATTTCTCCCCATGCTAGTCCCTCCCCAACTCTCCACCCCCGCTGTCCCTCCCCTATTTCCCCCCCAACAGGCCCCAGTGTGTGATGCTCCCCTCCCTGTGTCCATGTGTTCTCACTGTTCAACACCCACCTATGAGTGAGAACATGCGGTGTTTGATTTTCTGTTCTTGTGTCAGTTTGCTGAGAATGATGGTTTCCAGGTTCATCCATGTCCCTACAAAGGACACGACCTCATCGTTTTTGATGGCTGCATAGTATTTCAACTTTGCAGTGGCTGAGTACTAGCACTGATATTCTTAGGCGATCCAAAAACATCTTGCCAATGAGCTATTTGAGGATCCCAAAGTAAAAAAGCAGAGAGAAGGAGGCTGGAGTGTTGGAGGTATTCAATATAAACAGCATCCTACAAGAAAAGAATTATTTTATATGTACAATTTATGTAAGGTATATTTTTATGTATGAAATAGAGTAAATGTTTATAAAATTATTCAAAATATAAATATATAGGTATAATTTTCCGATAAAGTAATTCTAAATTATACTTACTATACTATTAAGGGGTGACTAGATATTTTCAATGAGAATTGATGTGAAGGTCAGGACCATTAGAATTATTATTTACTTGAGATTGATATTGCTATTTCTAGAAAGAAGTGGTTGTGAGTTCAGTGTTTCAAAACCAAAGCAGTAAAAGGGAAAAAAAAGAAAAAGAAAAATCCATTTACAAAGGGACCAGGGAATAACTGTGGCGGCCACTGGGCTGAGTTGGTTGCTGCATTTGTGTATCAAATTAGGTTCTGAATTGTCTCTTAGCAGAGAATCTCAAGCTTGATCAAACATCAGAAGCACCTGGAAGACTTGCTAACAGAAAGACTGCTGCCCAATCCCCACTTCCAGAATTACTGATTCAGTAGGTCCAGTGTGGGGCCTGAGAATTTGCATTTCTGACAAGTTCCCAGGTGACGCTGCCGTTGCTGGTCTAGGAACCACACTTTGAGAACTACCCCTCCAATGTCTCTAGAGAATGTCTTGGGCTGTTCATAAATTTGGAAGAAAGAGTGTGGTAGAAACTGAATAAGATTTAAGAATACAGAATGTCTTCCCTGAGCTAGGCACTAGCTGCGAACTCCAACGTTTAATATCTGATCGAATCAGCACGTTGTATGGATGAAGAAACAGAGGTCCAAGCCCCTGTTTGGCAACGTTCATTCAACAAATACTATACGTTACTCCATGTCAGAACCACAACTTGCTGGGGGCTATGATGGTGAATTACCCAGGCATGGTACCTGCTCATACTGGGACCCCAGACATGGCACTTACTTTGTACTCCCTTAGTGGGGGTCTTACCTGCCCTCTTCAGTTGGCATTTCCTCCATTTTGGCTGAGAGAGAGACAGAAGAAATGATAAATAAAATGTGACCCAAATATTTTTTAATTCACCTAAAATACCGTGAGACATGACAATAGGCTGGGGTCCTAGGTGGGCAGACCCTCTGTCAGGCCAGGGCTTGCTGTGATCTCTGTTGCTAAGAGCCTGCATCCACTGGGAACGCACCCTTGATGTTTAGTAGCTGCTGGTACAGCGTGGATCCCACAAACCAGTAACTCGTTTCCGCTATCCCCTTTTCTCTCCCCATCCTGGAGATTTATTGGGGGGAAAGAGATATCAAATCTAATGAGCTACCAAACTTTGATGTCTCTTTCCTGTTGCCTATTTTCTTCTTTGGGTAACAGGGAGGGCCATGTGGACATGTTCAGAAGTTTTGTCCACATAATGTCAAGCTACTTAATTTTTTTTAAACCCTGAAAGGAAATTGCTCTCTCTATCTCTTCATGTGTTTTTCAAATATCCAGACACTTAACTTTGCATAAATAGTGTCACATGAAAGTGTAAGTTAACTTTTTTCCCCCTTTTTTTGCTTGTCTGATCTGAGGCAATCCAATTATAAAAATTTTTAAAGGCAAGCTATTCTCCTTAGGTGTTAATTTTGAGAAATGCCTGGAAGAAGAAAGAGGAAGGTCTTCAGTGAGTAGAAAAGCACTTAAATGGGGACTATTCGACTTACAATTATAGAAAGTTTTCCAAAACTTATGGTTCAATGTCTTAATAAGATGTGAAAATATTTGCCAATATATCTTTGTGATTTTGTGCAATCCTTATATTTTTGCTTTAAAATGGTCACATCTAATAGTCGTAGAGTGAGTTACTTCCCAGAAAATAAATAGGTAAGTGACTCTGGACTTCATTTTTTTAATTTGTACATCAGACTTGATCACCTCCCCTGAGCTATAAAATCCTGTGACCCAACCCTACATCATGTAAATATGATGCTGCCAGGGAGCTTCCAAGTTAAGTTCCCTCAGTGAACCTGTGTTCGGAAGAGTTAAAGCTCAGGACTCTGCATTCTCCTGTTCTCTGCCAAGAGACTGTATCCTTTACTCCTGTGCCAAGGACTTGTTTGGAAGTAGGGAAAAAGGGAGCTGGCCAGTCTCTTACTGATTTGGCCCCTAATGTGTCCATCAGAACTACAGAAAGCAGGGTTTGTGAAGGAGACTGAAAATGAGCAGGAGCGTTTCTCAGACCACTGCTGTCAGTTTCTAACTGGAAGATGTCATGGTCTGGTCCTCAGTGCTTAGTCTTGAGTGATAATTCCTAACCTTTTAAAAAAATGTTTAACAGTGCTACATGCTACCATCATACCAAGTGAGCATTTTTGCTTTTTTTTTAAGGAATTAAAGTGGATTTTTGTCTTGTGATTTGTTTTTACTTTTGCTTTTCTTAATATGATTCACTGAAAGTCCAGAATTAAGTATGATTTTAATAAGAATTAAATGCAAATAGTAAAATGCAAATAATTAAATCTATGAAAATAGTAAATATATTTTTTGACTTGACTTTTGAGGCAAATGCCTATCTTAAATTGAAGACATGTGGCAAGATGTGATAGTTCGTGCCTGTAACCCCAGCCCTTTTGGAGGCTGAAGCCAGGGAATTGTTTGAGACTAGCAGTGTGAGACTAGTGTAAGCAATATACTGAGACCCCATCTTTACAAAAAATATTAACATTTTAAAAATAGCCAGGCATGGTGGTACATGCCTGTAATCCTTACCACCCAGAAGGCTAAGGCAGGAAGGTCACATAATCCCATGAGTTTGAGGTTTCAGTGAGCTCTGACTACACCACTGCATTCCAAGCTGGGCAACGGAATAAGACCTGGTCTTTTAAAGTAATGATGCTAATAATAATAGACAGAACACAGAAAATTTAACACATGGAGGATTTTTAACACACTGTATTAGTCAATTTTCATACTGCTGGTAAAGACATACCTGAGATTGGGCAATTTACTAAGAAAGAGATTTAACTAGACTTATAGTTCCACATGGCTGGGGAAGCCTTACGTTCATGATGGAAGGCAAGGAGGAGCGAGTCATGTCTTACACGGATGGCAGCAAAGAGAGAGTATGTGAAGGCAAACTCCGATTTTTAAAGCCATCAGATCTCGTGAGTCTTATTCACTATCACGAGAATAGCATGGGAAAGACCTGCCCCCATGATTCAGTCACCTCCCACCAGGTCCCTCCCATAACACCTGAGAAGTCAAGATGAGATTTGGGTGGGGACACAGCCAAACCATATCATACACTGAAGAGATTGATAGACGGTGTATTTGAAAATGTCCAGTAAATCAAAGGAAAATCCTACCCAACAAAATGTATCAACTCAGGAGACCATGTTTCTTAAAAAAAAAAAAAAAAAAATATATATATATATATATATAAATTTTTTAAAACTTGTTCTTGTATATGCTTCAAGCATCCAACATGAACTTTTCTTAGATGTATATGTAGTAAAATTGTTACTATACTCAAGCAAATTAACATCCATCCTCTTGCATAGTTACCCTTTGGGTGTATGTGTGTGGTAGGAGTACCAAAAATCTTAACAATATTCCAGTATACAAATGTTACAGCTCCTGTTTTCTACTTCGGATTTCTAATGTTATTCATCCTATGCATCTGCAACTTTTTACCCTTTGTTCTACATTTCCCTATTTCCCACTCTCCATTGCACCCCTCATAAACAGTTTTATTCTCTATAGATGTGACTTTAAGATCCCACATCAGTGAAATCATGCAGTCTTTTTCTTTCTGTGCCTGGCGTATTTCGTGTGGCATAAAGTCCTCCAGGTGTCTCCACGTTATTGCATGTGGCAGGACCCCCTGTTTTAAGGCTGAATAATACTCCAGTGTGTGTGTACCATGATTTCTTTATTCTTTCACCAATGGACATGTAAGTTGTTTCTATATTTTGGTTGTTGCGGATGATGCTGCAATGAATGTGGGACTGCATGTATCGCTAGGAGGTGCCGATTTCATTTCCTTTGGATGTATGTCCAGAAGAGAGATTGCTGGGTCATAAGGTAGTTCTCTGTTTAATTTTTGGAAGAACCTCCATACCATTTTCTATAATCGCTGTACCAGTGGACATTTCCATCCCAACAACCAACACGAATTTCCTTTTCTCCACACCCTTGCCAACATCCGTCTTTTATCATTTTGCTTAATGTCCATCCTAACAGAAGCGAGGTGATATCTCTTTGTGGTCTTGATGTTGCATTTCCCTGATGATTAGTGACGTTGAGTAATTTTTTTCTATACCTGTTAGCCATTTTTATGTCTTCCTCGGAGAAATGCTTATTCAGGTCCTTTGTCCATGTTTTAATTAGGTTATTTGAGATTGGAGGTGGTTGTATTATTTTCTTTTGCTGTTTTGTGTAAGCTCCTTATATACTTTGGATCTTAACCCTTTATCAGATACATGGTTTGTAAATACATTCTCTCAATCCATTGGCTGCCTTT